CTGCTGTGCAGGTTTGGGCGTGAGCCGAACGCGTGGGAGACGGTCGCTAGCCAGGACGCTCTCGTGCAGGTAGCTGACCAGCTGTACTTGGACCGCGAGCGCGCTGCTGGCAGGCCGCGCACACTCCCCGCTGGTGGCTCGTACCTGGAGTTCGATTTCTCCGCAGCCGCCCCTGGACCAGGCGTTCCTGGCGCAGGCCCCGCCGCTCTCGCGCCCGCGACGGGTGCCGCCGCCCGAGCAGCGCCTGCCGGGCCTCTGGTGAGCGCGGCCGGGGCCGGCGCCGTCGCCACCCCTGCTGCAGGACCCCTGGCGGTCGCCTCCGTGCCGGCTACAGGCGCCCCAGCGGGCGCCGCCGGCGCAGCGCCGCCGGCTGCGGCAGGGGTGGTTGGGCCGCCCGCTGGGCTGGCCCCAGTGTGGGTGCTCATCGAGAGCACGGGCAGTGGCAGTCGTGGCGATGTTGTCCAGCTCAACGGGACCGATCGGATCGAAGGTGACATCGGCCTCCTGAAGCTGAACGCAGGCTGGGCTGCCATCCGTCGGATCTCGATGGACCCATCGGTGTACAGACGCGCGGAGAGCGGGACGGACATCAGGCTGGTGGACGTACCACCTCGACCCGACGGCTCCAGGCAGCGACTGGATTGTCGTGAGGCTGTGCCGATGATGGTGGAGTGTCCCATCCCGTGGTGGCCGCTCGACGGTCCTCGGACCATGCTCTGGCGCGCGCAATTCATCGACAAGAGGCGGAACGGCCCCGTGGAGCACCACAACAGCTTCTCGGCCTTCTATCATCTCACGATGGAGGACTACGGGGTCGGTCATTATGAGATCTTAATGAAGATGATCAAACATCTCGGGTGCTGGGATCAGTTGAATATTCCCGACTTGGTCGGGGCTGAGCTGGCCACTCGCCAGGCACAGCTGCACGGGCACATCTACTCCATGGAGTTCGTGGCGCAGCAGTCGAAGGGCTCCAAGGACGGCGACGAGGACGACGGCAAGAAGAGGGGCCGAGGTCGGGGAGGAGGGCTCCACCGATTCGGCATCGTGGACGAGGCGGCGGCGTGCACAGGGGCGGTCAAGGAGGATGGCCGTTCCATGATATGCCCGCTGCTGCTGGAGCAGGTCTCCGAACAGGTGGAGCGCGACGCAGGGAACCTGAAGCAGATCAGGAAGGCCCGTGAAGAGCGTCGCGCTCTGTCATCATGAGCGACGCGCACGGCTCTCGGGTACCCCTCGCCCGAGAGTCTGCCAGGCCGAGAGAGGGGGCGCCCGTGGGCCTCGCGGGCGCAGCTGATCTACCTGTACATGAGGCTTCGCACTCCAGCACCGACTTTCGCCAACGTGATCTCTTTCCTTTACCTTACTTTGGCGCTGGAACTTCTTCTCCTACTACGTCCTCCCCGCCTTCGAGGTCAGTGCGCAGGCGCCTTGAGAAGCGGTCGCACGTTCACGGCATGGTCGAGGAGATGACCGACGCGCTGAACGACCTGTGGGGCTGCCCGCCCGTGGCGCGCCGTCAAGCGCCCGCTGGCATGCCGGTGCCTGCCGCTGGCCACGCCCTCGTCCTCTCGGAGCTCCGACAAGCCGCTGTGAGGTTTGGCCCGTGCCCAGAGGGCTTGGACGGTCCAGGAGCCCTCGAGGAGCTCCGGATATCTCAATCATACGAGGGTGACGCCACGTTGGTTGCCCCGGTGAGTTTCGACCTCGTCGACTCCATCTCCCTGCCTCCGGCCGGCAGCCAGCCCGCCGCCCTGGAGGCTATCGACGAGATGGCAGGCCAGAACATCGCTCGCCGGCTGAAAGAGTTACTCTTGCCCCAACAGCTGGGGATGGAGCGCATCAAGGAAGTGGGTCCGAGACGGCTCTACGCGGACCCTGCCCTTCGCAACCCGCGCCTCTATAGAATGGTGGCGCGGCGGCTTATGAGCGCCGGGCTGGTGGACTTCAGCAGCTCGGCGGAGTGTTACGTTGGCATGTTTTTCGTACGCAAGAAGAACGGGTCGCTGCGGATGATCCTCGACGGGAGGCACGCCTCGCTCAGGTTTGCGCCCGCAGACCCCGTGGAGCTGGCGACGGGCTCGGCGTTCGCCCAGATCTCGGTCGACGGCGACGAGCCCATCAGCATCGGGGGGGTCGACATCTGCGACGCGTTCTACCAGGTCGAGCTCCCACAGTGGCTGCGCCACTACTTCGGGCTGCCCAAGGTGAGGGCTGGCGACCTCGGGCTGGTGAACCTGTCCGACGGCACGCCCGTGAGACCCTCGGCCTGGGTGGTACCGTGCTTTCGGTGCCCGCCGATGGGCTGGAGCATCAGCCTATGGATATGCCAGAGCCTGAACGAGGCGGTGACCGCCCGTGCGCTTCCTGGCCATTTTGGCCGTCGACTTGTGGACCGTCGGCCTGCGCCTGACCTGCAGCAGGGAATGGCGCACGCGGTCTACGTCGACAACTTCATCGCCCTGTCCCACAGGCTGCGCGAGGTGCGTGATGCAGCTACTGCAGTGCAGGGGGAGCTGACTGCTTCAGACCTTCCCTCGCACCCCGTGGAGGCATCAGTCGGCGGGGACACGCTGGGCTGGCACTTTGACGAGGACAAGCCCGTGATCGGCCTCAGCGTTCGACTACGCTGGCGGCTCCGCCTCGGCATCGGCGAGCTGCTGGAGCGAGGCTGGTGCAGCGGTCACACCATGATGAAGGTGGTATCGCACTTCACTTCGAGGGCGCTAATTCGTCGAGAGCTGCTGAGCTGCCTAGGGGCCGTGTACGGCTTCATGGGCGACGGCGGCCGCGAGAGGCGGCGGCTGACGCCGGCAGTAAGACGGGAGCTGGCTTGGTGCCGCGCACTGCTGCCTTTGTGTTTTCGAGACGCCGGGCGGCCCTTGTCGCCTGTCGTTTCCTGTGTGGACGCCTCGTGGTGGGGCGCTGGTGTGACAGAGAAGACCATCACCTCAGACCAAGCTCGTCGTTTGTCTATCTTCAACGAGCGATGGAGGTTCAGTCGGGATGGCGAGCAACAGGTTGCCCCTCGCGACAAGGCCCTAGCCTCGGAGAGCAAGCAAGCTCAGCGTATCACCTCGTCATGCTTCAAGCAAGCCTCGTCGGAGCCCTACCGCGATCCAGCAGTCGTAGCAGCAGCCATGGAGCAGCAGGTCCCGTTCCGAGTCGAGCCGAAGCCGAATCAGGGGGAGGAAATCACGTTCGAGGAGGTGCCCGAGGAGGTCTGGGCGGAAGGATGGCGTCGGGTTCTATCTACACCGTGGACCAGGAGGGAGGCTCAGGTGGTGCTGGAGGGGAGAGCCTTAGTCTTGTGTCTGAAACATCGATTGCGAGCCACTCGAAACTTCAACACCACGCACATCATCCTGAATGACTCCATGGCCCCAGTGTTGGCCCTTCTCAAGGGCAGATCATCGTCGCCCCCGCTTTTGAGGATCTGTCGTCAGGCATGTGCTCTTCTGTTGGCTTCTGGTTCATCTGCTATCTGGCGTTGGGTCCCATCAGAACATAACAGCGCAGATCCAGCGTCTCGTGACCAGGCTGGTGACACCCCCGAGGCCGTGCGGATCAAGACATCGAAGCTCGACGCGTCCTGCCCGCCCGCCCAGGCGCTGGGCCTCGGGGAGGATGACGGCGGCAATGCTGGTGTCGGTCCTCGACGGCAGGGCGGCCCCTGCCGCGCCGGCGATGCGGGCTCGCAGGTGGCTGACTGCGGCTGCAAGTGCTGCGGGCGCTCGCCAGCTGCAGGGCAGGCCGCAAGCAGCGCCGGAGACTGCAGCGCGCCCAGCCGAGGGCGACCGCTGGGCGGGCCGTCAGCGGGGGGAGGCGAACCTCTTTCCTTTCCTCCCGGCTGCGGCCCCCCGCCAGGGCTTGACCCTCCTGGAGGAGTTCTTGGACGGGGGCAAGGGCAGCGCCGAGTGGATGCTGATGGCGGCTTTGGCCTTCGTGCGCCCGACCCTCGGGCAGCCGCAGGGGCGTCAGCTGCGGGCAGCACGGGCTGCCAAGACCTGGTCATGCCTGGCGCCGCCGCGGCCGCGGCTGACGCTCTCACGGCCGGTGGTGTGCCTCCTCGTGGTGACGCTGTGCTGCGGGGGCCTGGAGGAGTACGCTTGGCCCACCGCGCCCACGGTCGACCTGTGCCCGAGGCCGCGCGAGGCGCTGGATTTCGTGCAGTCGCAGCTCATCCCGCCCTGGCTCACCGCTGCCGAGGCGCTGCACCAGTGGTGCATGGTCCTCCAGCCGTCCGACATGCAGACCCCGTCCATGACAGACGTGCTCGACGAGACCCTGCGGGCGGGCCTCGCCCGCTCCCCGCGGGTGCCGCGGCCCGAGCAGGAGCCGCACCACCAGGCGCCCGGTGGTCACCGCCCTTTGCCGGTGGCCCAGGCGCAGTGGAGCGGCCACGTCAAGGCCGTCTTGGCCGGGCTCGGCCTGCAGGTCTGGAGCTACCTGATGCACGGGCACAACGGCGCAAGCCACGAGCTGTTCGCGGCGGCGCGGCCCCTGCGGGACATCCACATGCGCGCCAGGTGGTCGACCGACGCCGCGCCTCAGTGCTACGCCGAGGGGAGGCAGGTGCAGGAGCATCTCCGCGGGCCGCCGCGCGCCCTGCCGCTAAGTGCCGAGCAGGCGCTCCGCGGGCCTGGCGCCACCCCGTCGGCGAGCTGGCGTCGTGGGTGAGACATTCCAGATCCGGCGTCTTCCTGGAGGTCTTCAGCGGCTCAGGGCGGACGGCGGCAGCGTGGCGCCTGCGTTTTCATTCGCAGCATGCCGCTTTCGAGCTGGACATCCGCCACGACGCCGACAGCGACCTCCTCCTCAGGCGGATCAGGCAGCAGGTTCGAGGCTGGGTGCGGAGTCGGCTCATCGTCGCGATCTGGATTGCGACGCCCTGCCAGTCCATGAGCCGCGCCCGCAACCGCCCCAACGGGCCACCACCCTTGCGGACGGCTTTGTTTCCGCTGGGGCTGCCCGGCCTGTCGCCAGGAGATCAGCTCAAGGTCGAGAGAGGAAACGCACTTGCCACTTTCAGCTTCTCTCTTTTCTTGCTTGCCCGCAGTTTAAACATACCAGTAGTGATTGAGAATCCCAGCACATCCTGGTTGCGGCAGCTTCCAGGTGCGCGCAGTCTTATTCGAATTCGTAACACTCGTATTGTAGACTTTGATTTCTGTGCGTTCTCGACCCCTTGGCGCAAACGCACTCGGCTGCTGTACTGCCATCTCAACCTCGACCCGCTCACCCCCTATAAATGCTCGGGTCGTGGGGTCTGCAGTTTTAGCCGCCGCCCCCATCAGGTCCTCGAGGGCAAAGATGCCTCGGGCGTTTTCTGGACGCACATCGCAGAACCGTACCCAAAAGATTTTTGCAGGCTGGTAGCTAAGTGTTTCCAACAGGCTCTGCGAAACCATTCGTTTCTGAGCCTGGACAGGTTTGTGGAGGCCTACGGCCAGGATTTTTAAAATTCGCTGGTGCTCGAGTTTTCAAGGTTTCGGACTGTGATTGTCTCGGGCCACGGTTTCCTTGGTCGAGGGGCCTCGCCCGTCCAGTCAACGTTTCACGGAGCTCCGGGAAGAGTCATCACACAGAGTTGCGGATGCAAAACAAGTCTGGCCTTCGGGAGTCTCCCCGGCTTACACAGATTGCAATGGCGTGCCATAGATTCTTTGTTGCGTGTGGGAAGCGGGAGAGGGCCGCTGACACGTGTGCTCAAGCCTCCCGCCCACGCTGCGCTCCCATCCCATTTTCAGCTCGAGCAGTGTCCTGTGGACTGTGATTGTCTCGGGCCACGGTTTCCTTGGTCGAGGGGCCTCGCCCGTCCAGTCAACGTTTCACGGAGCTCCGGGAAGAGTCATCACACAGAGTTGCGGATGCAAAACAAGTCTGGCCCTCGGGAGTCTCCCCAGCTTACACAGATGTATGTATGGATGTATGTATGTATGTGTGTATGCACGTATGCATGTATGTATGTATGCAGGTATGTATGTATGTATCTGTGCAGGTGCATGTGTGTATGCATGTGTATGTATGTATGCATGTATGTCGGTAGCCATGTTGTATGTACGTATGTATGTGTGTTGGTGTGTATGAGTATATGTGTGCATGTGTATGCTCGTATGTGTGTATGTATGTACGTAAGCATGCATGTATGTATGTATGTATGTATGTATGTATGTATGTGTGTGTCTGTATGAGTGTATGTATGTATGTGCTTGTATGTATGTATGTATGCATGCTTGTGTAAATGAAAGTATGTAAAGGTGTCAGTATTGAAGTATATATGTACTGTTGTATGTCTATATGTAGATGTACATGTATAAAGGGGCCGCTCGTTACACACGATCATGTAGATGGACCTGCACTGCGCATGACCCCTTACATGTACACAAGAAAGCACACATAGCTAACAGTATAGAGACGGAGACAGAAGGAGACGGAGGATGGCGAAGGAGGGCCATGCGTGTTTAGTAATAAACAATAGTGCCGAGCGCTACATACGCAGGACAGATCAGCGCCATGCGCTCTGTAGCAGAACAGCGCGTCGCGCTGAGCGAGGCAGGCGCACGGGAGCCGCGAGGTCTCTACGGGGTGTGCGTGACTACCGGCCCCGCTGGACCTCCTAGGAGCCCGCAGAAGCGGCAACAGTTGCGAAGCTCGCGGCCGCGCAGGGAGCCGCGAGGTCTCGACGGGGTGTGCGTGACTACAGACCCCGCTGGGCCTCCCAGCTCAGCCCCGCAGGTAGCCGCGAGGTCTCCACGGGGTGTGCGTGAATACCAATCCCGCTGGACCTCTCAGGAGACCACTACTCGCGACGGTTGCGCAGTTCACAGCCCCCCAGGGAGCCGCGAGGTCTCGACGGGGTGTGCGTGACTACCGGCCCCGCTGGACCTCCTAGGAGCCCGCAGAAGTGGCAACAGTTGCGAAGCTCGCGGCCGCGCAGGGAGCCGCGAGGTCTCGACGGGGCGTGCGTGACTACAGACCCCGCTGGGTCTCCCAAGAGCATCTGAACGTGCCGACGGCTGAGCAGCTCGCAGCCACCCAGAGCGCCGCGAGGTCCCACCCCCCAGGAAGCCACGAGACGGGTAGAGCCACAACCACCACGGGGCTGCAACGCAAGCGGGACGAAGGAGGGAAGAAAAGGAAGATAAGGAAGAGGAAGAGGAAGCAGGAGGCAGGAGGCAGCAGGAGGAAGGAGGGGAAGGAGAAGACTCGACCGCAGTGCTCTGCTCAAAACGAGAACCCAACCGAGGAGGGTTTGGGGAACAAATGCTCCGTGGCAGAAAAAATCACGACCGGAGTGCCAGACCCCATTTTTCCGCGTCATTTCTCGAGCCAGATCGAGCTGTGAGGATCCCGGGCCTGAATTCGGGCAGAAGCGCCCTCTGTGGAACAGCGGCAACGCCAGGATCTCAGGGTCTCACGGCGAGCGCGCCTCGGCGCGCCCAACCGACCGGCCGCGTGGCTCGGCGTGGCACGCCGCTGTCCTCGCGGCCGCCCTCCGTGTTAGGATGATTCAAGGATCCTGTAGGGAAGGAAATCTATTCGCCAGTGAGATTTTTAACCGGAAATTCAAAAATTATGATTTTCTATTGTTTATTCAGATTTTGCATTGTTTATTTGGGTTTTTCATTGGAAATTCATTTTTTAAAATTTATTCCATTTATTAATTAATAATTTGAATGTCTGTGTTTTTTGTTGCTTGTTTTTGTTCAAAGTATCTGGGTTTATGAGTGTATCGGGCCCCTCTCCCCCTCCCTCCTCCCATCCTTGCGGCCGCTCTCCGCAGGTCAATTCCGGCGCATCTCTCGCACGCTCCGTGGCCCCATAATGAGGGAGTTCCGGTGAAGGTCCCAGTGGCAGTGGCAGGGTCCACCAGCGCCCAGGGAAGGAGGAGGGGGAGGAGGAGGAGGAGGAAGAGGAGAAGGAGGAGGACGAGGAGGAGGAGTAGGAAGGGGGGGGGGGGAGGAGGGGGGAGGAGGAGGAGGAGGAGGAGGAGGAGGAGGAGGGAGGAGGAGGAAGGAGGAAGGAGGAGGAGGAGGAGGAGGAGGAGGAGGAAGGGAGGAGAGGAGGAGGAGGAGGAGGAGGAGGAAGGATGAGAGAGGACGGGGAGGAGGAGGAGAGGAGGAGGAGGCGGGAGGAGGAGGGAAGGGGAGAGGAGGAGGAGGAGGAAGGGGGGGGGGGGGGGAGGGGGGGGGGGGGGGGGGGGGGGGGGGGGGGGGGGTAGGGGGGAGGGGAGGGGGGGGGGGGGGGGGGGGGAGGAGGACGAGGAGGAGGGGGGGGAGGGGGAGGAGGAAGACGAGAGAGGAGGAGGAGGAGGAGGAGAGGGAGAAGAGGGAAGAGGAGGAAAAGGAACACGGGAAAAGGGGGAAGAGGCTTCATGCATGCGTTCCTCGCTCCTGCTGCTGCGTTGAGTTCGAGCAGCGAGCACCGTGTTGCCGCGCTGCGCGTTCGCAGCTCCCGTGTTGCCGCTGTAACTTCTAGCATTCCCCTCCTCTCGGCTTGGCCCCTGGCAGACGCCATGGCCTGGGGTGGTTGGTGGAGCGGGGCGTGGTCTTCCGACGGCGACTGGCGGTCCTCCGCCTGGGCCCCCGACAGCGGTTGGCGGAGCGCCTGGCGGTGGCCCTCCGCCTCGAGCAGCAGGGCCGCTGCCGCGGAGGCGGAGGCGGAGGCGCACGCCGCGGCCCCATGGCGCGACGAGGGGGGGGGCCATGGTGCAGCCGAGCGCGCCGGCCCCTCCCAGAGCGTTCCGCCGTGGGAAGCCAAGGGTTTCGCTTCGGCGAGGCACAAGCGGGGCGGCAAGAATCGGGAGAGCAAGGTGAATCGGCATAGTTTGCAAATCGGGCCCGCCATGTTCCTGTCACGCCCTTCTCTCTCCTTCATGTCCCCCCCCCGCCGACTCGCAGGTGAAGTGGCGGCTGAAGCACTGGTTCGGGGGCGTGCGCCAGGGGCTCCCAGAGCAGCCGGGCCCGCCGCTGCCAGAGGAGCCGCCCACGCCTGGACCGTCCGAGGCCGAGCAGTCCATGGAGCTGGAGCTGGCGAGCCGCGCGCCGCCGCGCGCGGAGGAGCAGGGGCGGTTTCCCATCGCTGGCCGAGCACTGCTTCTTTCCGCCATCAACGAGCGGATCGAGGTTCTCCTTGGGCGCCGCGCCCCCCCGAGGGGGCCCCCGACGCCGATGCAGCCTTACCCTTGGTCGCCTTTGGGCGTGCCCGACACCGCGGCCGACGACTTGCGCACTCTCCTGGTGTTCAGCACCTCTGAGCCGTGGATCCACGGCGAGTCGGCCGCCCCGCAGCTTCTCCTCGGGCCCTGGTCGGAGTGCGGGGCGCCGCCGTCGCTCGAGCACGCGCCTCCGACGCCGTTGCTCGCGCTGCCGCCCGCCCCCGACGCTGGCCAGGAGATGTCGACGGGGCCGCCTGGCGCTGTCGGCGGCCAAATCCCCATCGCGACGATCGCGGCCCAGTCTGGTGCTGCCGCGCGCGCCGGGGCTGCTGCTTCGTCGTCAGGGCCGCCTGCTGCGGCGCCGCTCGTGGTGGAGGGCTCCGACACGGAGGCGGGCGCGGAGGTGGACAGTCCGGCGGGCCCGCCCGAGCCTGCGTCGAAGAGGCGCGTCGTCCGAGACAGCGCCGAGGCCGAGGCCTTCGCGTCGCTTGCGGCCGACTGGGAGACTGCGCACCAGAGAACGAGTGGCGCTGCAGCGCGCGCCGTTGCAGGACAGGCCCGCCGCAGAGCTGCCAGAGCCTTCGCGACCGCGGAGGTCGTAGCGGCTGGGCTTCCACCGCCGCCGCCGCTGGCGCCGCCGCCGCCGCTGGCGCCGCCTGCCGATGCGTCGGCGCCGCCCCCCGTGCCCGACGGCGCGGGGACGGGCGCCGTCGCCGTGGACTACGCGGACACGGGGCCAACATTCGAGGGCGACGAAGCCGAGTCTGATTTTTGACGTTTCCGATTTCGATTTCTATCGAGTCCGCTCGATTCTGAGTCCGCTTCCGAACGCGTCTGACG